CTCGTGTCCTGCGCCTCGTGTCCTGCGCCTCGTGTCCTGCGCCTCGTCCCATGATTTATGCAAGTTTTCTGCCCCGTCAGCCATCTTTATTTTGTAAATAATACATTATTTATTTATATTCCTTGAGTCTTGTCTGCCTTCACCAAATGGGTCTCCTGCCTAGAAATCATCACAAGAAGAAGTAATATTTATTTGTTTGCTTGTTTATTTCCATCCATCCATAATCTCTTATCCACTTCTTCCTTTTTGGGTCACGGGGGTCACTGGTGCCCATGTCCAGCAATCACTGTACGAAAGCCGGGGGACACCCTGGACAGGTCTCCAGTCCATCGCAGGGACACATGGAGACAAACAAGACAAACAGCCATGCACTCTCTCATTCACACCTTGGGCCCATTTAGAGTTACCAATCAGACTAACATGCATGTTTTTGGTCTGTGGGAGGAAACTGGAGTACCCGAAGAAAACCCACAAACGCGTGGAGAGAACATTTAAACTCCACCCAGAAAGGCCCCCGGACCTTTCTGGGATTTGAACGGAGTGACTACCAACTACGCCACTGTGCCACCCTGGTTGATTTATCAATAAATTTAAATTAAGTGAAAAAGAAAATAATTTGAAGTGAGCAAAATATATAATGCTAATTTCCTGGTTTGTGTATTCATTTATAATACACCTTATTATATTATGTTATTGTTGTTTAGTGCACATCTTGGCAGCACGGTGGCACAACTGGAAGATCTGCTGCCTCTCAGCAAGCAGGTCCCCGGTTCAAATCCCGGTCCGGGGACCTTTCTGGGTGGAGTTTGCATGTCCTTGCATGCGTGGGTTTACTCCGGGTACTCCAGTTTCCTCCCACAGACCAAAAACATGCATGTTAGACTGATTGGTAACTCTAAATTGTCCCTAGGTGTGAGTGAGAGAGTGAATGGTTGTTTGTCTCGTTTGTCTCTGTGTGTCAAGTCAAGACAAGTCAAGTCAGATTTATTTATAGAGTACATTTCAAACAGAAACTGTTACCAAAGTGCTTAACAAAAATATCACATCATCAAATAAAAAGTAGCAAGATATATTTACAGCACATGGAGTAAAAATATAAAACTGTGTCAAAAGTCAAGGAAATAATAACAAAAAGCATAAACTCAGTCAGAAACAATGAAATACTAAATCAGATCTGATGACTTTGTGTTAAATAGGAATAATAACAAAAGCATAAACAGAAACAGCATAGATGAAAAACCAGATCTAAAGCTGATCACCCTGTGTTAAATGTCAGTGAGTACAGATGTGTTTTTAGGAGAGTTTTAAAAATAGAGACTGAGGTGGCCTGTCGAATGTTGATGGGCACATTGTTCCAGAGTTTAGGGCCCACGACTGAAAATGCTCGATCTCCTCTGAGCTTCATCCTGGTTTTAGGTACGGCCAAAAGCAGCTGGTCTGATGATCTCACAGCCCGAGAAGGAGCATAAGGATGAAGGAGGTCGGAGAGGTATGAGGGTGCAAGGCCGTTAATGCACTTGAATGTCAGCAGGAGAATTTTAAAATTGATTCTGACACGCACAGGAAGCCAGTGAAGGGAGGACAGAACCGGAGTAATGTGCTCAAACCTGTGAGTTCCTGTTAGTAGCCGAGCTGCAGCATTTTGTACGAGCTGGAGATGTGAAAGTGAAGCCTGACTAACCCCAACATAAAACGAGTTACAGTAGTCCAGCCGGGTTGTAATAAATGCATGGACTAGTTTTTCAAGGTCGGATCTGGACAGAACAGACTTAAGCTTTGCTATCTGCCTTAGCTGAAAGAAGCTTTTTTTTTTTTTTTTAGAACAGAGTTGATTTGTTTATTAAACTTAAAGTCAGAGTCTAACACTACCCCGAGTTTGGTAACCGACTGCTTTAGATGTGGCTGAAGGGAGTGCAGGTTTACAGGATCAGTGACAGTGGTAGAGCTTGGGTTAAACACAATGACCTCAGTCTTCTGATCATTAAAACTCAAGAAGTTCACAGCCATCCAAGTCTTGGTATCATCAAGACATTTGAGCAAAGGATGGAACTGTTGGGTTTTAAAGGCATATAGATCTGAGAATCATTGGCGTAACAGTGAAACGAAATACCATGTTTCCTCAGGATTGACCCCAAGTGGAGCAGATACAATGAGAACAGAAGGGGTCCAAGAATGGAGCCTTGTGGGACCCCACAGGAAAGAGGGACAGAAGCAGAAAAATTATTTTCAAAGTTAACACAGAAACTCCTGTCACCCAGATACGAACGGAACCATTCTAGCGCCACCCCTGTAATCCCAACCCAGTGTTCTAGCCGAGACATAAGGATGCTGTGATCAACAGTGTCAAATGCAGCGGTAAGGTCGAGGAGTACCAGGATCACAGACTGACCAGAGTCATTTGCTAGCAGAATGTCATTACACACCCTTACTAAAGCTGTCTCGGTGCTGTGTCCCTGTGATGGACTGGAGACCTGTCCAGGGTGTCCCCTGCATCTTGTACAGTGACTGCTGGACATTGGCGCCAGTGACATCTTCAACCCAAAAAAGGAAGAAGTGGGTAAAGATAATGTGGTTTTTTTTTTTTACCCGGATTGAGCATGAACTTTGATATACTGTACAATATTTATTTAAGCAAATGGTAATAAATAAATAAATAAAAATGACCCAAGCAAACAATGGATATTTTCCCCCTTTTAACAATACAATTCACCATTTTGTGTTTACTGCACAGTAAATAGGCTGTATTTGTAAAACTCTTGTTTTAATAACTGCTTCTATGTGACTTAAGGTTTTGATTTTCACAACTTCAGAGTTGGTGCAGTTTTACTGAATCCAAAATAAAGTCTCAAATATGGAATAAAAACAAGTTGGGTTTCTGTTCTGAACATTTGCAAACATGTTTGTGACATTTAGTCAATAAAATAAAATGCAGAAATATTAACATGTTCCTTACCAGGTACTGGATCAGTTATTAATATCACAATAATAATAATAATACAATAATTGTAATCAAAACAATGTATTTATTTTTTTAATAAGTCTTTTCACACCACATTACCCCCCACAAATAAAATGATTAAATAAATAAAAAATATCCTATAGGCAGGTTTTCCCAGTTTGTTTCATTGTACAGTACAGAAGCAGGTCTAATTGGGGTGTTCTTATAAATTATTCCACTGATATTTTTAGTTTTGGATTTAGGTTTTGGATTTCCTTTAAGAATAATAAATAAGTGAGCGTGGTGAATTATCATTTCTATCAGCTGCAGTCAGCAAATCTTTTGAAACACGTTAAAGGACAACTCCAAACTTTCTAGGAGTGAAAGTAATTCAAATTTCTAAGAAGGATTCTGGATCTGTAAAGCCCGGCCCTGTGTGTCAAACAACTGTTGGACAGAGAGTAGGCTGCTTCAAGAGCAAGGTCATGGTCCAGTGTGGGCCCAGTTCTTTAAAATGTAAAGGTTCCTTGAAGGATTGCATACAGCCTGAGTTTGACAGATCATCTTATGATGAGAAATGTTGGAGTTTTAGTCACTGTAGGAAACTCTTCAAATAATCTCCGGCTGAATGTCCCGCTGTGTGTTTTGTGTTGTGAGTGACTCACGTTAGCTCAATATCTGTAAAACTGACTATGTTGTGATTTTAAGGCCAGTTGAGCCGATGATGACCATTCAACTTTACTTTGTAAGTGTTTCATGAGATATATTGCTAACAAACACACACATTGCCAAAAACATAATTAGCCTTTTGCCTTTGGAGTGGTAAAAAAAATCCAGCATCCTAAAGAATTTAACCAAAACCAGACATTATGGTAACTTTTGCTTTCTCTTTCAAGCTTTTGTTCCTTGAACGCAACAAGTGGGCGGGGCTGTAGCTACGGCAACAAGTTGCAGGAAGAACTCCGATGCAGAAATAAGAAAATGTAATTAAGAACATGAAAGGGCGCCATGTTGTATAAAATTTAGGTCTTTAATGTAGCACAACAAATAATAAAACCTTCTTCTGTAGTTTCTAAAAATAATAATAATAAAAATAAAATAAGAAGCGTTCCCGCCAGCAGCACGTGAACACTTCAAAGTTAAAGTGTCTGAAGGCGGAACCAGAGGAAGAAGAACCTGATGGTTCCGCTCGGTCTGCTTCGGTTTGGACCGTGGTGTTGCCGCGGTCCGACCAGGAGGCGGGACTGCAGCTCCGCGGTGTCAAGAGCAGCTGCACAGCTGGCGCGTGAGCTGAGGGAGGCGCGCGCTCCTGCTGCACGCCAACACACAGAAACACGCGCGCGCGTAACAGAGCCGCGAGGAAAACAAAGTGTAACTCGGAGTGTTCGGAGCGGAAATCTTCGGGTAAGTCCGCCAGGGTTCGGACGCAGCCGCCGGTTCGCTCTCGGTGATGTAACGTCTCTGAGCTCAGTCCTCAAAGTGTTCCAGAAGCGCTGCAGCTGCACGGGACGGTCCAAACTCTGAAGGTAAGAACCTCCGTGGTTTATTTGCTGCTCTGCTCGTAAACACTCCGACATGGACCAGCTGACATTTACAACCAGCTGAAACTTGCCGGGATGACTCGTGGAGGGATGGAGGACTTGTTGCTCTGCACCTCAGCCTGGAGCTCAGCTGCTGCTCTGAGAAGACTCGAGGTGGTCTGAATCCAGGAACGTTCCTTGGAGGAATGCATATCACCCGCCGCCAGCATGACAGACTTTTAGACATGACATCACGCTGAGGTGTTGGTCAGCTGTTGATGTGTGCGAGATGCTGCTCCGAGCACGACTCTCAGCTACTACCACATCAGATTTAATCTGTAAAACTGGCTGAATAATAGTCATTCACCTAATGTTTGATTAGTTGTTGCAGCCATCGTGAACTGGACTGAGTTCAAATTGTAATCACTTGTAGATGTGCATCCAGTGAGTATTCCCTGCAAGTTTCATTCAAATCTGTCCAGTGGTTCGTGAGATATTTTGCTAACAGACAGACAATGTTGACCCCCAACAGTTAATGTTGACGTTTTAAGCAATGATGTCAAGCAGTGATTAGCACATGGAGTAATTGTTGTGAAAGATTCGCACCGAACTTGAGCTGAATACGAGTAACGCTGGCTTAGTTACGACCCTTTATGCGTTGGCTAATGCTGATTAGCTGTGGTGGCCATTTTCAATTGGGTTGACCCCAAAACGTAATCAGTTGTAGCTGTGTGTTTGGGGATTGCTCTCTGAACGTTTCAATAATCTCTGTCAAGTTGTTTTTAAGATATTTTGCTAACAGACATGCAAGCAGCCAGACAAACGATGGACATGGGTCTCAATATGAGCTTGCCTCAGCTGCAGCGTTTAGGTCAGTTTTGCTGAATTGAAGACGTGATCAGATTACACGCTGCTCACGCTCCTTCAGTCCTCCTGCTCTGTGCTTGAGGCTGCGGCTGATCTTCTGCAGCCACCCTCGGAGCAGCAGGGATTAGGAGGCAGGTTTGAATGCCAGCTTCACCCCGGTGTTAGAGCCGGGAGACGGGGGTGGATGGGAGGGCTGAGATCCGTCTTGAACATGGAAATGATTTATTTAGATCTAATCAAACGTGTGCAGCCACAACTTCCTCCAAGGCTTGTCATAGTGACATACTGAAACCATCTTATCTCTAATGTAAAAGCTCTGTCACCTTTGAACTGGTATCAAGACCTTGAATTAAAGCGCCGGATCTGCTCAGTGAGCGCTGCAGGAGTTCAGAGTCACAACGGACAAGAAAACAGCTCAAGTTAGATTCAACAGGGAACTGGAAGCCCAAACTGAGAGAATGTGTTTTATTGTCCCTTTAACTGAGCAACATTTTTAACAGATTACAAACAAAAACGTGGGTGAGAAAGATGAAACACCCACAGCTGCCTCCACCCCCATTCACTCCACTCTGGGCCCTTAACCCCCACCTTCTGCTCCCCTGGGTGCCCTCGATGTCAGCTCTCAGAGGGCTGTGGTAGCTCGGTGGTCTGTGGTTATGTCTGGAAAGACAACCGGCGTAAAAATAATTGCCATCCCTGAAGAAGGGAGCAACCGAAAGAAGAACAAAACAAAAAAAACAGAAGCCCGACTATTTCCAAGAAGTATTTCTTTGTATTTTGACATAAAGGCCAACAAGCGGGTTTAAAAACCACCCGTAATAATTATTTCAAAAGCGCAACAGATCTCACTATTTTCATTTCAAATGTGTACAGGTGAATGTACACTCTTATCTCACTGATCTGCTGCAGCCATATGTCCCACAGCGCTCTCTGAGCTCAGAAGACCAGATGTTTGTTTGGTTCCAGGCACTTGTTTTAAGCTCAGAGGTGACAGGACCTTCTCTGTTGCAGGTCCAAGACTGTGGAATGAGTTACCACTACATGTCAGGCAGGCTCCCACTCTCACTGATTTTAAGTCTCGCTTAAAAACCCACGTTTGTTCCCTGGCTTGACACTGTGATTTGTTTTTAATCCTGTCTGTACTCTACAATGTTAACCTTTTTAGTTATTATCGTTTTCCATTTGGATCTATGTTTTCATGTGTCCTTTGCATGTTTGATTTTGTTGTTCAGCACTTTGGTTGGCTTTGCTGCTCTTTTAAGCGCTTTATAAATAAAGTTGTATGCTATGTAGAGCTGTCATTTCTAACCCGGCCCAGACCGACCCGTTATAATGTGAGTAATGGACGGGCCAGGCCGGTCTCGGCCTTTTAATTAGGTCAAGATCCGCCGCAATCCAATTATATGATAACATGGCCTGCCATACTTTCACCAGCCGCATGCGGCCATTTCACCGCGAGCTGACCGGCCTTGAAAGAAGTAAAAAGTTCAGTTAAGCTTCAGATGGGACTGTACTGCCAGGGAGTGATCCATCGCCCAAATGGACGTTCATTCAGCTGCTGCACTCGGCGGACGTGCACGGCCGATGACCCAAACAGGTGTATCCCAAATCAGACATGTGTTAGAGCTGTCCGCGTGTCTCAGTAATTCAGAAGAATGCAGTCAGGAATGAGGTTTAAATGCTTTTTTACGGCCGTGAAAGTACAAACACCTCTCAGCTCCGAATCTTCTGCCCCGTTTATTCAGCTGCACATCCCCGACCGTTAATAACTAATTAGAAATGTTGAGGTTTATTCCGGGTTCGGATCTGTAATTACTGTTAATTTGTCGGGTTGGGTGGGGCTCAGAAACGATGACTGTGGGCTGGGGCTGGGTCAGATCATATTTTTTGGGCCTGACTAAATGCAACTTTAATGGTATGGCATGGCATGGCATGGTATGGTATGTACGAATGTGGAGGTCGCTGCCAAGCTCGCTACGAAAACAAAATGAGCCGAAGTAGGAGTGATGGTAGATAAAAAAAACAAAATAATGCTCATGGGCAAAAGTGCAGATTTGTAAAAGGTGCCAACAAAAGTTTGCTGTGATTCTTAGAAACTAGACGTTCCAGACGGCCACACAGTTTGTTGGTCTTTGGTTGCAAACGAAGAATACTCTAATTCTGCAATGGAAACTTTTCATTGGGGACTGCCTATTATTATCAACACGAAAAGGCTCTATCAACTTTAATGCGACCCAAACCTCCATGTGTACCTTCACAAATGTTACATCATAACGACAGGTTTGGAACCGTGATGTGTGCTTTTACTTTAATTGGTATTTTGGGGTTACCATGGCAACGTAATTGGCAAACGACATTGCTGTTTTTCTCATTAAAAAAGCCCGACTCTTAACAGCTTCTAGCTGCCACAGTGAGGTCACATGATATAGAGTCAAGAGGTCTCTGAAGAAAACACTCAGTAACTTTTGGAGCCATCTTGGTTCAAGATGGCTGCCACAGCTACCTCAGAAAACTCTAAATTGACTAGAACTCCATCGTTCGAGATATTGAGCTGAAATTTGGTATGGTCGTAGCTGAGAGAGAGTTGTTGCATTACTAATGCAAATTGAAAATCTAAGATGGCCATCTTAGCTAAAAGGGAAAAATACAATAACTCAGCTATTTTAAAATATATTGAGCTGAAATTTGGTGTGGTGGTGTAGCTAACAGCGACGCTCAACACATTCTGAATTTAAATCTAAAAACACAAGATGGCCACCAAAGCTAATTTCAAATGGATATAGCTCATCTGTTTTTAGAGCTATTGAGCTGAAAATTGGTGTATTGGAAGCTGAGAACAATCCCTAATGGTCTCTGATTGTAAATAAAAAATCCAAGATGGCTGCATGAGCTGAAAATAATACTATAAATCAGCCATTTTTAGGGAAATTAAGCTGAAATATGGTGTGGTTATAGCTGAGAACATCGTTTTCCATCACGTACTGAATCCAAGACAAAAATCCAAGATGGTTGTCGTAGCTTTAAAGGAAAAATTGACTATAACTCATAGTTTTTTTTTTCCATAATTAGCTGAAATTTGGTGTGAAAATAGCTGAGAGTGTACCCCAACACACAGTACTGTCAAATCAAAAAAATTTAATGTCTGCAATGTAGCAGTCCCATCAAAGATTTTCTAGGAACTTTCTAGTATTATTTGTTTTTCAGTTGCCAACTTGTCTCCAGCAGTTGCAGCCCAGTGAGACACCACCTAAAGGTGCCCATTGCTATGTTGACCATGGCTCTGAGGCATTTGTGCTGATATGCTTGGTTCTCTCCAAAAACGGTGCTGTGGGTTCTAATCAAACACCTCTGCGTTGGCCTCGTCTGATCAGGGCCAGATGTTTTTATATTTGATTTTGTCCAGATATCATCTGACTTAATTATGTTTCATCATGACTGTAGTTGTAGATGTGCAGTCCGTCTCGTCCTGCACGCAGCCAGAAAAGTCACTGTGTTGTTTTCCGTGTAGTGGCTGCAGCTCCTGATTAGCTGCACCAGTTTTGGAACAGAGCTGCCTTTGTGCGCTCGTTGGTCCAGGTCGGCGTCTGATTCAGACGATGCAAATGAGGCAGCCGCTTCCATTAACCCGCGTGCGTGCACTGCTCATTTAGACGAGTCTGTCACCGAAGCACAAAAAGTCCATTTTATCACACGCTGCCTTGCTTGATCATCAGTCACCTCAAAGTCACCCGTGGCCTTTGTGATCTCACGCAGCCAAGCGCTGAAGTGGTGCTTGACTGGAAAGATGTGGCGCTTCAAAAAGACCAGATTTCAAGGATTCAAGGGGCCTGCAGACTGCAGGATAAATCAACGAGGAGACATTAACAAAGAAAACCTCTGCATCTCTGTCCTTGCTTCTCTGCCTCTGCTGCCGCAGTGCAATTACTCCCGGCCTCTGGAGCAGCCACCCTTGATATTTAGCATCACTTCCAGCAGCCTCAACCTGCTGCAGTGTCACACTTATATGGAAAGCCAGACATAATTGGTTCAATTCTAAAAGGCTCTTGCTTTCTGCCAAAGGACCATTAGAAGCAGATTTGGAAGAAATGAGGTGGAGAGGGAGGAATAAACTAGAGGACTAAGAAACTCTGCAGCAGGAG